TGCAGCACTTTCACAGCATCATCTTTTAGGATTTGAAATAGCTCAACTGGAATTCCATCACCTCCACTAGCTTTGTTTGTAGTGATGCTTCCTAAGGCCCACTTGACTTCACATTCCAGGATGTCTGGCTCTAGGTGAGTGATCACAGCATCGTGATTATCTGGGTCATGAAGATTTTTTTTGTACAGTTCTTCTGTGTATTCTTGCCACCTCTTCTTAATATCTTCTGCTTCTGTTAGGTCCATAACATTTCTGTCCTTTATTGAGCCCATCTTTGCATGAAATATTCCCTTGGTATCTCTAATTTTCTTGAAGAGATCTCTAGTCTTTCCCATTCTATTAATATCTTTGTCTCTGTCCAGCCCTTTATTTTACAATATTTGGTGGGTTTTTTTTTTTTTGTCATTGTTATTCCTTATTTTTTAAAAATATATAACTGGATTTCATTTTTCTTTTTGTTATATTTTACATATACACAAAACTTATAACTGATATAAGTTGTGAAGTGTAATAAGATAAATATCTATGAACCCAACTAGGGATTACCAAACACAGGAACTGGGACATACGCAAGACCACCGAGCCTTCCTGTGTATTCCAGCCAACTTTCTCCATACCTCATCCCAAAGAAAACCACTATCTTGTATTTTGTGTTTATCATTGCCTTGCTTAAAAAAAAAACTAATTCCTGATCCCATAAAATTGTTATTTTTTTAGTTTTCTATGTTTTTGAATTTTATACTAGTAGTATACTATGCACAGTCTTCTACTAGTTTCATTTTTTATACAATATTGCTGCCAACATTCATCCATATTACTGCATGTGGCCATTATTCATTGCTATACAATATTTCACTTATTAATTCTCCTATTGCAGATATTTGGGTTTTTCCAATCTTTCATTAAAATAAACAGAGCTACAATGAGTGTCCATCTACATAAGTCCTAATGCACACATACTAGAGTCTTTCAAGAGCATAACCTGGTGGGGAGGTGCTGGGCTGCCAGGATTTGCATGGGGTCAGCTTTGTCAGACAGTGTTTTCCATGGTGATTTTACTATTTACACTTCCAACAGAAATTAAGAAGAGTTCTCATTGCTCCACATCTTTGACAGTACTTACCCATTTTGATCTGCCCCAAAGGATCTACTATTAGCGAGGTTGAGCATCTTTTCATATGTGCATTCTACATCTGTGTATTTTCCTTTGGGATATAACTGTTTATGTCTTTTACTCAATTTTCTTTTGGGTTGTTTGTCTTTGGTGTATTTATTTCTAAGGTTGTTTGTAAAAACTCTATTCTAGATACAAATTCTTTGCTAGTTACATGTGTTACAAATAACTTCTTCTAGCTTATGGAATAGAAGCTCTTTAATTATGGAATAGACGGTCTTTAATATATCCTTCTGAATGCAGAGTTCCAAAGAATATCAAGGAGAGATAAGAAAGCTTTCCAAATGATCAATGCAAAGAAATACAGGAAAACAATAGAATGGGAAAGACTAGAGATCTCTTCAAGAAAATTAGAGATACCAAGGGAACATTTCGTGTAAAGATGGGCACAATAAAGGACAGAAACAGTAAGGAACTAACAGAAACAGAAGATATGAAGAAGAGGTGGCAAGAATACACAGAAAAACTGTACAAAAAAGATCATGACCCAGATAACCACAATGGTGTGATCACTCACCTAGAGCCAGACATCCTGTAGTGCGAAGTAAAGTGGGCCTTAGGAAGCATCACTACAAACAAAGCTAGTGGAGGTGATGGAATTCCAGCTGAGCTATTTCAAAACCTAAAAGATGATGCTGTGAAAGTGCTGCACTCAATATGCCAGCAAATTTAGAAAACTCAACAGTGGCCACAGGACAGAAAAAGGTCAGTTTTCATTGCAATCCCAAAGAAAGGCAATGCCAAAGAATGTTCAAACTACCACACAATTGCACTCATCCCGTATTTCAGCAAAGTAATGCTCAAAATTCTCCAAGCTAGGCTTCAATAGTATGTGAACCAAGAACTTTCAGATGTTCAACCTGAACTAAATCCAGAAAAGGCAGAGGAACCAGAAATCAAATTGCCAACATCCACTGGATCATAGAAAAAGCAAGAGAATTCCAGAAAAACATCTACTTTTGCTTCATTGACTATGCTAAAGCCTTTGACTGTGTGGATCACAACAAGCTGTGGAAAATTCCTCAAGAGATGGGAATACCAGACCGCCTTACCTGCCTCTTGAGAAATCTGTATGCAGATCAAGAAGAAAGCAGTTAGAACCAGACATGGAAAAACGGACTGGTTCCAAATTGGGAAAGGAGTACATCAAAGCTATATCTTGTCAGCTTGTTTATTTAAATTATATGCAGAGTATATCATGCGAAATGCCAGACTGGATGAAGCACAAGCTGGAATCAAGACTGCCAGGAGAAATATCAATAACCTCAGATATGGAGATTACACCACCCTTATGGCAGAAAGTGAAGAGGAACTAAAGAGCCGCTTGATGAAAGTAAAAGAGGAGAGTGAAAAAGCTGGCTTAAAACTCAACATTCAAAAAACTAAGATCACGGCATCTGGTCCCATCACTTCATGGCAAATAGATGGGGAAACAATGGAAACAGTGACAAGACTTTATTTTCTCGGGCTCTAAAATCACTGCAGATGGGTGACTGCAGCCATGAAATTTAAAAATGCTTGATCTTTGGATGAAAAGCTATGACGAACCTAGACAACATATTAAAAAGCAGACATTACTTAACCAGCAAAGATTCATCTAGTCAAAGCTATGGTTTTTCCAGTAGTCATGTATGGATGTGAGAGATTGGACCATAAAGAAACCTGTGAAAGTCACTCAGTCGTGTCTGACTCTTTGGGACCCCATGAGCTATACTGTCCATGGAATTCCCCAGGCCAGAATACTGAAGTAGGTAGCCTTTCCCTTCTCCGGGGGATCCTCTCAATCCAGGGATCAAAGCCAGGTCTGCCACATTGCAGGCAGATTCTTTACCAGCTGAGCCACAAGGGAAGCCCCTAAAGAAAGCTGAGTGCCAAAGATTTGATGCTTTTGAAATGTGGTATTGGAGAAGACTCTTAAGAATCCCTTGGACAGCAAGGAGATCAAACCAGTCAATCCTAAAGGAAATCCGTGCTGAATATTGATTGGAAGGACTGATGCTGAAGTTCCAATACTTTGGCCACCTGATGAGAAGAACTGACTTACTAGAAAAGACCCTGATGCTGGGGAAAATTGAAGGCAGAAGGAGAAGGGGACAACAGAGGATGAGATGGTAGGATGACATCACCGACTCAATGGACGTGAGTTTGAGCAAGCTCCAGGAGTTGGTGATGGACAGGCAAGCCTGGCATGCTGCAGTCCATGGGGTCCCAAAGAATCAGACATGACTAAGTGACGGAACCGACTGAATGTAGCCTGATCCATCATACATTTATGGTTTATGCTATTGTGTGCGTATGCACCTTATTTACAAAATCCTTCACTACCAGAATCATAAAGGTATTCTCTTGTATTTTTTATTAAATTTTAAAGTTTGGACTTTCACGTTTAAAATTTTAATCCATTAAGAATTTATTTAGAGGTGCAGGTTGAGATAAGGATCCAATTTTATATTTTTCCATAATCAAGAGTCCAGGCACCTTACATCAAATAGTTAATCCTTCCCCAGTCATCTGAAAAGCCAGTTCTATCACATGTCAGGTTTCTACACATGTGAACTTTTATTACTGTTGTATTGGTCTATGGGTCTAATCTTGTGCCAATACCACACAATCCTAACTCCTAACACTTGATATGTGTTGGTTGCATTTAGGCATGTTTAACCACTATTTCTTCTTCAGGAGTATACAGCTAGTCTTGGGGTTTTGGTCTTCCACTTAGATTTTACAGTCAGTTAGTAAAGTATTTTTAAAAATTCTACTGGGAAGAATCCTCGGGCAGTCCAGTGGTTAGGATTCTGCACTTCCACTGAAGCGGGCAGAGGTTTGAGCCCTGGTTGGTAACTAAGATCTCACATGACTCAAGGTACAGCTTAAAAAATTG